TTTATTGCACTTTGCTTTATTGTGCTTCACAGATATTGTATTTTTTACAAATTGAAGGTTTGTGGCAACCCTGTTGGCACCGTTTTTCCAACAGCATTTGCTCACTTTGTGTCTCTGTGTCACATTTTGGTAATTCTCACAGTATTTTCAACTTTTTCATTTTATTATATTTGTTATGATGGTCTGTGATCAGCGATCTTTGATGTTACTATTGTGATTGTTTTGACATTTTTTTAGCAATGAAGTATTTTTTAATTAAGGTATGTACATTTTTTTAGACATAATGCTATTGCACACTTAGTAGGCTACAATATAGTATAAACATAGCTTTTATATGCACTGGGAAACAAAAAAATTCATGTGACTCTTTATTGCGTTATTCATTTTGTTGTGGTGGTCTGAAACCTAACCTGAAATATCTCCAAGGTATGCCCGTATTTCCCGTAATCAGAACACTTTTCTATATGATCATGGCTTTATACTGCATTATCTTTTTAGCAGCTGCAAAAGACAAAAATTTAATGCTCATTATATTTGATCTTGGGTGAATGAGTGTGGCAGTATAACTCAGATTACTAATTAATAACAAGGGAGACATAAAACAGAATTGTAGTCAAGATATTTAATTTTTCTTTCTGAGTGAGGATTAAAGGTCGTTACTGAATTGTTGAATAGAACATACTTCCTGCAAGAAAATATTTTAATGATTTAAAATGATAGTAAATCTTTTACATAGATAAATTTCTCATACAATAATAATTATTAAAAATTTGTATTTTCACGATAATGATTGTTTTAGAACAGTCGTTCACCTGCTCCACTTCAGCTGCTCATTCCCATTTCCTGGCCCCTGTGGCCTCCTGGATCAGCTCCACCTCTGCGATCTTTATGATCATTATCCCATTCTCTGACCTCTCAATTTTCATTGAAACCTCTGGACTTTAGACCCTTCCCATGTGTCTCTGTATCCCCACCCCCTCTTGTCTTCACTTCCTTCCCCATCCGTTTCTCCCCATCTTCTATTGGCTATCACTTGTACCAGTTAACAGAATATACACAGTAATCATGTTTTAGGCCATTTAAAGGAGAAGTAATAGGTGAAATGTTTGTTCCTAGACCAATTGCTAGCAAACTTTGGCTACGGTTCCTTGATGGGAAAGCCAAGGATATTAATGAATTGACTTGGATTTTTTCTACAAGGATAATTCAGATTTTTTTTTTTTTGAGTAGCCTTTAGAATTTGTCTTTTGTATCCAGAAGCTTCTGATTTGAGTGTTCATATTTACACATCCTATTTTGTCCTTTAATGGTTATTTTCAGCTTTGCTACAGGCTAGGTAGGCTGCAGCTGGGGCATTAAAAAAATAGAGGGATGAATTAGAGTATTTTATAATTGGAAAGAATCTTAGAGGTCACATAATCCCAAGTTATCATTGTTCATATGAGAAACCGAGGACCAGAGAGGTTAAGCAATTTGCCTGAGGTTACACAGTTGGCACCTGGTTGAGTTAGGACCAAAACGGAAGTCTCCAGATTACAAATTCAGAACTTATTTTTATTATCCCATGTGGATGGGTTGGTGGGTGGGCGAGTATGTGGGTAAATAAAAAGTCAAAGTAATGACCTCTATTTCTTGCCCTTCTCTGACTGGAAGGCCATATGTTTCCAAGAATGATAAAACTATGATCTGTCATTTGGGAAAGTGATAGTTTTGTTTAAAATATCTGTCATTGTTTTGGAGGCTGGACCTCATGCTTTCCTCTCGTTTCCCTCTTGTTTGAGAAAAATACTTTCCAGGGGCAAGGATCCTATGTTGTACCCTTGCTCTGCAGGGATGTCAGAGTTTCTGGAGGAGCGAGCCTCAGAGGGTCCCTGCCTTGCTGCTCAAGAAGCAGGCTTTGTGACCATCTCATGTCTGCTGGGCATGTGCTTTGAGCTGTTTTTCCAGTGAAGTTGAAAGTCTCGCTGGGACAGAAACATACTCTAGCAGATGGCAGATATCTGTAAACAAAAGCAACAGTGAAAACTGTGGTCCCAGAGTTGAGGCATACCCTATTCTCATCGTGCTTTGAACAGCTGAGGTAATAGATGCTTTTCCTCCTTGTTTAAAGCCTTTTGCCACTAGATGGTTCATTCTCTTTCCAGTTCATTTGAATTCATTTTAATCAGTTCTATCACACTTGTGTCGCTCTTCCTGCTTGGATATCAGGCCCCTTAAAGTTACATTAAATATTCACTCATCCTGTTGCCTCCTCAGGAGGCCTCTGATAGCAGAATTTCAAAAGCAGAGTCTTTAAATGCCTTACCGTTTTGAATATAAAACTTCTTATTTAAAGGACTGTCAAATAAACTCCTATTTAAAAAACAAAACCAAACATAAGATTCAGCAATTAGCATGAAGAGAAACGCAAGACAGGAAGTTTTAACTAAACAGTAATTTCACTCATTCATTCATTCAACAAATATTTATCAAGCATCTACTATGTTCCAGGGACTGTTCCAGACTCAGGGTACACAGCAGCTAACCCAATGGACCAAAATCCCAGCCTTTATGGAGATTACATTCTAGTGAAAGGAGACAGACAGTAACAAATGAGTAAAATATATGCTATATCAGATGGTGACAAGTGCTGTGGAGGGAAAGAAGGAGATAGGCAATGGGGGATGGGTGCCATTTTACAAGGGGTGTTCAGGAAAGGCCTCACGGAGAAGGCAACATTTGAGCCAAGACTGTGGACTCTAAGGAAGTGAGCCCTGTGCGTCCTGGTTGGCATGGCTCTTCTGCTCCTGGCTCTTGGGTTCTGAGGTGGTTACCTGTTTGTTCACACTAGTTTGTGAATTTTTTAATGAAATATTATATATAATTAGGAAGTCTTTGAGGGTACTAGAAGTTGCTAGCCTCTCTGAACCTGAAGTTTCCTTATGTGTAACATGGAGATGATAATACTTGTGGGGACTAAATGTCTTGTAGTAGACCATTAACGTATGGTAGCTACTTTGTTTTACTGTTAATTATAGAAATAACACTAAGCTTGATTTTTTTTTTTGGTGTTGCTAATACTAAATAGAAGAGACTTTAGTGATCATTTATTCCACTACGTCATTGTGCGGACGTAGAAAGTGAGGCACAGAAAAAGATCAATAGCTCTATGGAGGTTAAGAGGTTGAGAGGTGGGTGCAATTCCTTGCTGTCCATTTCAACTTACTGGCTAAGTGCACTTAAGTAAGTTAGTCTCTCCCAGCTTCACAGTATGGCGAGGACTGACTGCAGAGATGAGTCCACTGCCTGGCCCTCAGTAAGTGTTCAGCCCTGGAACAGTTCCGTTGTGCTTGGTGAACAGAGCCCCTGAGCTGAGGCTTGGTTGGTCATGACAGTGACTGTCCCACAGAACAGACCTTTCAGGTGAAGCTGGGCTCCGCATGATGATATGGTGAGAACACTTGAGATTTCAGACATGGAATTATTCACTTAGTGATATTGAACGTCACTTGATTTCTTCTCCCTGTGGTTTTTCCCTATAAAGATAACGGTACTTGACCTTACGCCTATTTCCTGGGGTTTTCTGAGAGCTGAATAATGAAACAAGAGTCTCTGGAACCCAACAGCCTTGGAGAAGCTCATAAACACACACCCTCAGATGGATAGTGTGTACTTGTTATACCACAGCAGTACTAAGCCGAGAGGCTGGATTGCTGCTTCAGAACTCAAATTGTTCTTGTTAGAGTTAACTCTTGATTCTTATGGGCTAACTGGGAAAAATTATAGCATGAATAAAAGGAGCCAGCTGGTGTTGATTACTCGTCACTGTAAAAGTTGAGAAAGGCGTAAGAGACTATATTTTAAATCTCATTCTCTCTCACCTGATTTCTTTCTTCAAAACTATGAAGCTATAGGATGGTTCAAAGGCTCCCAGCCCCAGAAGAGTCAGTGTGCCTGAATAATCCACAAACAACACAATACTTGTCACTATAGTTGCCATTTATTTAGTAAATGCTTTACACTGGGCACTGGCCTAAACTCTTCACCTGTAGTATCTCATTTCATCCTCATAGTAACTCTGTGAAGGAGGGAGGTGTGTTCATTTATCCATCTGTCTTTTATCAGTTGAATCGCAGGTGGAGAAGGTGGAGTGAATCATACTTCTCAGTATGTTGTACATTGTCATCATTGGTCTGCGCAAGGCCCTTTCTTATGGTAGTTAGTTCATTAGTTTATTCCCTTTTAACCATATACTCTATGCTCATTCATTCACCCACCCCCCACAAATAACCAATCTCTTATTTTTAGTATCTTTTCCTTTCTGTATATTCTTACGAAACGTATATTGCGATTTCGTGTGCGTGTATTTTAAATTTATATAAAATGGTATCATGTTATATTCCATTCTGTCTCTAACTTTTTGATAACTGTTCTAACTGAAGCACTATTTTGAAGACCCATCCACGTCGCTATATATCGCTTCCAGTTGTGGCATAATATTCCATGGTGTACACTCACCACAGTCACATCTTCTCCTTCCTAGCAGTGGAAAGCCAGGTTGCATTGGTGTCAAACTCCCTACGGCTGCCAACAAAGAAGCATTGTATCCCCGTATGTCTCCTTTATGGACTGTGTGAGAATTGCTTCGGGGTATATAATGAAGAATGGAATTGCTACTTCATAGGGTGTACATAGACTTCAAATAGTGCCAGACGAGGAAACTGAAGCTTTGAGAGTTCTAATAACTTTCCCAAAATCACATAGACGGTAGTCAGCAGAGTTGGGATTCAAATTCAGGCTCCAAAAATGCTACTCTTGATGGCTGGGTCATCATTATTCCTGAGTATTTGAGACTTGAGGACATTGTACAAAAACATAAAGGAACATCTCGTTGTCTGTAGTTTTTATGTTCTTAGAACCTAGGAATCCAGGTGGACTGATTTTTTCTGAAGCACTTACCTTCCCCCCATAGCTCCACAGTAACTGTTTTTCTTTCCCTTTCGTATCCTGTGGGTCTGCAGCACTAAAAGCCGCATTGGTCATCCAGAACTGGTACCGAGGTCATAGTGCTCAGCTGAAGACCAGACAACGCTATGCCCTCACCATCTTCCAGTCCATCGAATATGCTGATGAACAAGGCCAATTGGAGGTCTGTTTTGCAAGCTTGTCTCTTATTTTGGTAAAATGCTTCCCTTTACCCCTTTTATTGAAAGAATGAAAGTTTGAGTGCATTTTAAGCTGAAGAACCTTGGTGAAAGACTTTTATAGAAGATATAGTGACATTGTTTTGGAACTAGCTACTGAGAGAGTATGATTTGGGAAGAGGATGGTGTTTTTCAGTTCTGAAGTTCATATTTTTAAGAGGGCTGCCAGATGTCTAGTTAACTAGTAAAAAATGGTCTTATTCTGTTTTTCTGGTATGTGCCCTAATAGTAAAGTTGTTACTTTATGAAGTAAAAAAATTACTTTAAGGAGTTAAATAAATAGAAGAATTTCCTGGGAGCAGGGAGCAAACATATGAACATTCTAGAAGAAAATATAAATGGGTGAGGAAGGACTTTGTCAAGCTTGCAAAAGCGGTATGTAAATCCAGCTTTAATGCTTTTTAATAGAAAAAAAGTACTTTTAACAATAAAAAGATCTTGGAAAGATCTGGTATAACGTATTTGTTAATGAAAAAATCAACTTGTAGAACAATATGAAGTTTTATCCCATATATGCGAAAGAAAATGAAGCATACTGTAAAAGTCTGGAAAAAGATATACAGAAAGTATTTACTCTGGTTATTTCTGGGGAGAAGCATGGTTGGTGGGTGGAAGTGGGTAGAAGGGGACTTCGCATTTTCATTCTGTATCATTTGTAGTTTTCAACAATCATATATTTATAAATTTAGCACATAATAAACATAATTAAAATAAAAATAATAAATAAAATAATAAATATTTAAAATAATTAAAATTTCAAAAAGAATTAAAGAAATTGCTGAATTTATTCTTGGTAGCTATAAAACTTATATAGTGTGATTCAGTCAGGTATTCCTTTAGCAGTTCACAGCATTGACTGTCCTTTTAAGTACTGTAGAATATAGTGATGGAGACAAAGGGAGGGTGAGCTCTCAAATTGATATGCTTTGTACACAGACATTCCAGTATCAGTACATTCTTTAAATATTGAGTCTTCTTTAATAACAAATTTATTGGGATACAATTCACCCATTTAAAGTAGAAAATTCGAGCCTGAACCAAGATAGTGGAGTAGAAGGACATGCTCTCACTCCCTCTTGTGAGAACACCAGAATCACAAGTAGCTGCTGGACAATCATTGACAGGAAGACACTGGAACTCACCGAAAAAGCTACCCCACATCCAAAGACAAAGGAGAAGCCACAATGAGACGGTAGGAGGGGCGCAATCACAGCGAAATGTAATCCCATAACTGCTGGGTGGGTGACTCACAGACTGGAGAACACTTATACCACAGAGGTCCACCAACTGGGGTGAAGGTTCTGAGCCCCACGTCAGGCTTCCCAACCTGGGGGTCTGGCAACAGGAGGAGGAATTCCTAGAGAATCAGACTTTGAAGGCTCGTGGGATTTGACTGCAGGACTTCGACAGGACTGGGGGAAACAGAGACTCCACTCTTGGAGGGCACACAGAAAGTAGTGTGTGCAGTGGGACCCAAGGGAAGGAGCAGTGACCACATAGGAGCCTGAACCAGACATACCTGCTAGTGTTGGAGGGTCTCCTGCAGAGGCGGGGGGTGGCTGTGGCTCACTGTGGGGACAAGGACACTGGCAGCAGAAGTTCTGGGAAGTACTCCTTGGCATGAGCCCTCCCAGAGTCCACCATTAGCCACACCAAAGAGCCCAGGTAGGCTCCAGTGTTGGGTTGCCGTAGGCCAAACAACCAACAGGGAGGGAACCCAGCCCCACCCATCAGCAGACAAGCGGATTAAAGTTTTACTGAGCTATACCCACCAGAGCAACAGTCAGCTCTACCCACCACCAGTCCCTCCCATCAGGAAGCTTGCACAAGCCTCTTAGATAGCCTCACCCACCAGAGGGCAGACAGCAGAAGCAAGAAGAACTACAGTCCTGCAGTTCCTTTCACAGAAAGACAAGATGAAAAGATAGAGGGCTAAGTACCAGATGAAGGAACAAGATAAAACCCCAGAAAAACAACTAAATGAAGTGGAGATAGGCAACCTTCCAGAAAAAGAATTCAGAATAATGATAGTGAAGATGACCCAGGACCTTGGAAAAAGAATGGAGGCAAAGATTGAGAAGATGCAAGAAATGTTTAACCAAGACCTAGAAGAATTAAAGAACAAACAAACGGAGATGAACAATACAATAACTGAAATGAAAACTACACTAGAAGGAATCAATACCAGAATAACTGAGGCAGAAGAACGGATAAGTGACCTGGAAAACAGAATGGTGGATTTCACTGCTGCAGAACAGAATAAAGAAAAAAGAATGAAAAGAAATGAAGACTGCCTAAGAGACCTCTGGGACAACATTAAAGGCAACAACATTCACATTATAGGGGTCCCAGAAGGCGAAGAGAGAGAGAAAGGACCAGAGAAAATATTTGAAGAGATTATAGTCGAAAACTTCCCTAACATGGGAGAAGAAATAGCCACCCAAGTCCAGGAAGTGCAGAGAGTCCCATACAGGATAAACCCAAGGAGAAACACGCCGAGACACATAGTAATCAAATTGGCAAAAATTAAAGACAAAGAAAAATTATTGAAAGCAGCAAGGGAAAAATGACAAATAACATACAAGGGAACTCCCATAAGGTTAACAGCTGATCTCTCAGCAGAAACTCTACAAGCCAGAAGGGAGTGGCATGATATTCTTAACATGATGAAAGGGAAGAACCTACAAGCAAGATTACTCTACCCAGCAAGGATCTCATTCAGATTCGATGGAGAAATCAATAGCTTTACAGACAAGCAAAAGCGAGGAGAATTCAGCACCACCAAAACAGCTCTACAACAAATGCTAAAGGAACTTCTCTAAGTGGGAAACACAAGAGAAGAAAAGGACCTACAAAAACAAACCCCAAACAATTAAGAAAATGGTCATAGGAACATACATATCCATAATTACCTTAAACGTGAATGGATTAAACACTCCAACCAAAAGACACAGGCTTACTGAATGGATACAAAAACAAGACCCATATATATGCTGTCTATAAGAGACCCACTTCAGACTTAGGGACACATACAGACTGAAAGTGAGAGGATGGAAAAAGATATTCCATGCAAATGGAAATCAAAAGAAAGCTGGAGTAGCAATACTCATATCAGATAAAACTGACTTTAAAATAAAGAATGTTATAAGAGACAAGGAAGGACACTACATCATGATCAAGGGATCAATCCAAGAAGAAGATATAACAATTAAAACTATATATGCACCCAACATAGGAGCACCTCAATACATAAGGCAACTGCTAACAGCTATAAAAGAGGAAATGGACAGTAACACAATAATAGTAGGGGACTTTTAATACCTCACTTACACCAATGGACAGATCATCCAAAATGGAAATAAATAAGAAAACAGAAGCTTTAAATGAAACAATAGACCAGATAGATTTAATTGATATTTATAGGACATTCCATCTAAAAACAGGGGATTACATGTTCTTCTCAAGTGCGCACGGAACATTCCCCAGGATAGATCCCATCTTGGGTCTCAAATCAAGCCTCAGTAAATTTAAGAAAATTCAAATCATACCAAGAATCTTTTCTGACCACAACGCTATGAGATTAGAAATGATTTACAAGGGAAAAACGTAAAAAACACAGACACGTGGAGACTAAACACTACATTACTAAATAACCAAGAGATCACTGAAGAAATCAAAGAGGAAATCAAAAAATACCTAGAGACAAATGACAATGAAAACACAACAATCCAAAACCTGTGGGATGCAGCAAAAGCAGTTTTAAGAGGGAAGTTTATAGCTATACAAGCCTACCTCAAGAAACAAGAAAAATCTCAAATAAACAATCTAACCTTACACCTAAAGGAACTAGAGAAAGAAGAACAAACAAAACCCAAAGTTAACAGAAGGAAAGAAATCATAAAGATCAGACCAGAAATAAATGAAATAGAAACAAAGAAAACAGTAGCAAGCATCAATAAAACTAAAATCTGGTTCTTTGAGAAGATAAGCAAAATTGGTAAACTATTAGCAAGATTCATCAAGAAAAAGAGGGAGAGGGCTCAAATCAATAAAATTAGAAATGAAAAAGGAGAAGTTACAACAGACACCACAGAAATACAAAGCATCCTAAGAGACTACTACCAGCAACTGTATGCCAATAAAATGGACAACCTGGAAGAAACGGACAAATTCTTAGAAAGGTATAACCTTCCAAGACTGAACCAGGAAGAAATAGAAAATATAAACAGACCAATCACAAGTAATGAAATTGAAACTGTGATTAAAAATCTTCCAACGGGGCTTCCCTGGTGGTGCAGTGGTTGAGAGTCTGCCTGCCGATGCAGGGGATACGGGTTCGTGCTCTGGTCCGGGAGGATCCCACATGCCGCGGAGCGGCTGGGCCCATGAGCCATGGCTGCTGAGCCTGCGCGTCCCAAGCCTGTGCTCCGCAATGGGAGAGGCCAGAACAGTGAGAGGCCCGCGTACTGCCAAAAAAAAAAATCTTCCAACAAACAAAAGTCCAGGACCAGATGGCTTCACAGGTGAATTCTATCAAACATTTAGAGAAGATGTAACACCATCCTTCTCAAACTCTTCCAAGAAATTTCAGGGGAAGGAACACTCCCAAACTCATTCTATGAGGCCACCCTCACCCTGATACCAAAACCAGACAAAGAGACTACAACAAAAGAAAATTACTGACCAATATCACTGATGAATATAGATGTAAAAATCCTCAACAAAATACTGGCAAACAGAATCCAACAACACATTAAAAGGATCATATACCATGATCAAGTGGAATGTATCCCAGGGATGCAAGGATTCTTCAATATATGCAAATCAATCAATGTGATACACCCTATTAACAAATAGAAGAATAAAAACCATATGACCGTCTCAATACATGCAGAAAAAGCTTTTGACAAAATGCAACACTCATTTATGACAAAAACTCTCCAGAAAGTGGGCATAGAGGGAACTTACCTCAACATAATAAAGGGCATATATGACAAACCCACAGGAAACATCATTCTCAATGGTGAAAAACTGAAAGCATTTCCTCTAAGATCAGGAACAAGACAAGAATGTCCACTCTCACCACTATTATTCAACATAGTTTTGGAAGTCCTAGCCACAGCAATCAGAGAAGAAGAAGAAATAAAAGGAATACAAATTGGAAAAGAAGAAGTAAAACTGTCACTGCAGATGACATGATACTATACATAGAGAATCCTAAAGATGCCACCAGAAAACTACTAGAGCTAATCAATGCATTTGGTAAAGTTGCAGGATACAAAATTAATGCACAGAAATCTCTGGCATTCCTATACACTAATGATGAAAAATCTGAAAGGGAAATTAAGGAAACACTCCCATTTACCACTGCAACAAAAAGAATAAAATGCCTAGGAATAAACTTTCCTAGGGAGACAAAAGACCTGTATGCAGAAAACTATAAGACACTGATAAAAGAAATTAAAAATGATACCAACAGATGGAGAGATATACCATGTTCTTGGATTAGAAGAATCAATATTGTGGAAATGACTATACTACCCAAAGCTACCTAGCGATTCAATGCAATCCCTATCGAATTACCAATGGCATTTTTTACGGAACTAGAACAAAAAATCTTAAAATTTGTATGGAGACACAAAAGGCCCCAAATAGCCAAAGCAGTCTTGAGGGAGAAAAATGGAGCTGGAGGAATCAGACTCCCTGACTTCAGACTATACTATAAAGCTACAGTAATGAAGACAATATGGTACTGGCACAAAAACAGAAACATAGATCAATGGAAGAAGATAGAAGGCCCAGAGGTAAACCCACGCATCTATGGTCAACTAATCTATGACAAAGGAGACAAGGATATACAATGGAGAAAAGACAGTCTCTTCAATAAGTGGTGCTGGGAAAACTGGACAGCTATATGTAAAAGGATGAAATTAGAGCACTCCCTAACACTATACACACAAAAAAAACTCAAAATGGATTTGAGACCTAAATGTAAGACCGGACACTATAAAACTCTTTGAGGAAAACATAGGAAGAACACTGTTTGACATAAATCACAGCAAGATCTTTTTTGATCCACCTCCTAGAGTAATGGAAATAAAAACAAAAATAAACAAATGGGACCTAATGAAACTTCAAAGCTTTTGCACAGCAAAGGAAACCATAAACAAGACAAAAAGACAACCCTCAGAATGGGAGAAAATATTTGCAAATGAATCAGTGGCCAAAGGATTAATCTCCAAAATATATAAACAGCTCATGTAGCTCAAAATTAAAGAAACAAACAACGCAATCCGAAAATGGGCAGAAGACCTAAATAGACATTTCTCCAAAGAAGACATACAGATGGCCAAGAAGCACATGAAAAGCTGCTCAACCTCACTAATTATTAGAGAAATGCCTATCGAAACTACAATGAGGTATCACCTCACACCAGTTAGAATGGGCATCATCAGAAAATCTACAAACAACAAATGCTGGAGAGGGTGTGGAGAAAAGGGAACTGTCTTGCGCTGTTGGTGGCATTGTCAACCTATGTAGCCCCTATGGAGAACAGTATGGAAGTTCCTTAAAAAAGTAAAAATAGAATTACCATATGATCCAGCAATCCCACTACTGGGCATATACCCAGAGAAAACCATAATTCAAAAAGACACATGCACCCCAGTGTTCATTGCAGCACTATTTACAATAGCCAGGTCACGGAAGCAACCTAAATGCCCATCGACAGACAAATGGATAAAGAAGTAGTGGTACATATATACAATGGAATATTACTCAGCCATAAAAAGGAACGAAATTGGGTCGTTTGTTGAGACGTGGATGGATCTAGAGACTGTCATACAGAGTGAAGTAAGTCAGAAAGAGAAAAACAAATATCATATATTAACGCATATATGTGGAACCTAGAAAAATGGTACAGATGAACCATTTTGCAGGGCAGAAATTGAGATTCAGATGTAGAGAACAAACGTATGGACACCAAGGGGGGAAGGCCTCGGGGTGGTGGTGGTATGAAGTGGGCGATTGGGATTGACATGTATACACTGATGTTTATAAAATTGATGACTAATAAGAACCTGCTGTATAAAAAATAAAATAAAATTCAAAAAAGAATAATGAAGTAGAAAATTCAATGGCCTTTTGTTTATTCACAAAGTTGTGCAATCATCACCACGATATATTTTAGAACATTTTCATCACCCCCCAACCAAAGAAGGAAAAAAATCACCTCTATACTGATTAGCACTCACTCCCCATTCCCGCCCTCTGCCCAGCCCCTGGCAACTACTAATCTGCTTTTGTCTTTATGGATTTGACTGTTCTGGCCATTTCAAATAAACGGAATCACACAATATGCGATCCTTTGTGACTGGCTTCTTTCATTTAGCATATTGTCTTCAAGGTTCATCCATGTTGTAGCATGTGTCAATAGTTCATTCCTCTTTATTTTTGAATATTATTCCATTGTATAGATATAGCACATTTTGTTTATCCTTTCCTCAGTGGATAACTCATTTGGGTTGCTTCCACTTTTTTGGCTGTTATGAATAATGCTGCTATGAATAATTGTGTGCAAGTTTTTCTGTGAACATATTTGTTCAGTTCTCTTGGGTATATACCTAGGAGTGGAATTGCTGGGTCATCGAGTAAGTCTGTGTTTAACTTTTTGAGTAATTGCTAAACTGTTTTCCAAAGCAGCTGTACCATTTTGCATTCCCACCAGCAGTGTATGATGGCTTTAATTTTGCCACATCTTTGCCAACATTTGTTATTATTTGTCTTTTTTGATGATAGTCATCCTAGTGTGTGTGAAGTGGTATCTCATTGTGATTTCTGTTGACTCTTAGTTGACAAATCCATCAACAGCGTTAAAATCATAGATTTTGATATATTTGTATGGAAGGTCTTCCTTCCCTCAACTGCCAGATCTACTGCCAGATTGATAAGGTTCCTTAGTGTTCACTCTTCACGGGAGACAGGGCTTGGAAGTTATTTGTCCTGTATACATGCAGGTCTTTGCAGATAATTGGTGGGCATAGAGGCAGTATCTAGGTGATGGTTGGAATACTGGTAGATTTCCATCTTTCCCTTCCTCCCTCCCTTCCTTCCTTCATTTACCAAATATATTTGGCATTTAAGAATATCCCTTATTCTCACCACCGAAAGAAATAGAAGAGATCATAATGAAAAAAATCTAGCAGCTGTCTTAAGTGGGTTTCCTAGAAGCAGAGTCTGAGATAGGGGCTTCTGGTACAAGTGACTTCCTGAGAGAGTATTCTCAGGAGAAACCTATAAGGGAGTGAGGAAAGCAAGATAGGACAGGGAAGAAGCTAGGCAAAAATATGTTTTCTGGAGAAGTCTGACCTCAGCCTGATCCCACTGGGAGCTCTGAAGTGTGAAATGCGTCAGTTTGTCCCACCCAGTGGCAAGAGAGGTGGGGGTCTGGGCTGTGATACTCTTGCTTCAGTTAGTCTTTTTCAATGGGCATCCCCCCAGGAGGGAGGGGTATCTGATATCCTAAGCGACTCTGGGGGAGCTGCTGCCCATCTGCCAAGGGCAATCCTGGGGAGGAGGCGGGCAGGTAGAAGCGATACCCATTACCATCTATGGCAGCTGGGAGATGAGAACCTTCAGAGGAGTAAAGGGGACTTGCGTGGAATACCAACAGTACCTGTTTGGGATTCATTAATTGATCAATGTATTTTTATTTTGTCCAGCTATCGAACTTCTTCTCCTTCATGTTGGAAAACTATACACGTCTACTTGAGGAAGATCCAGGTAAGTAAAAAGTTTAGTCTTTTGAAAAGGAGTCATTAAATATTGAATTGTCTCATCAAGGAATGTAAACTGAAGATGAGAGAACACTAAGAAATTAAAAAGATGCCCATCTGTCTTGTCTGTGTGACACCAAGCAACTGGTGAAAACAGTTTAACTGGCTTTTTCCATCCTTGATTGCTGTTAACTAATTGACCATTTAATTTTTTCATTTTCAAAAAACTGAATTAGGGCTGCCGTGGTGGCGCAGTGGTTGAGAGTCCGCCTGCTGATGCAGGGGACGCAGGTTCGCGCCCCGGTCCGGGAGGATCCCACGTGCCGCAGAGCGGCTGGGCCTGTGAGCCATGGCCGCTGAGTCTGCGCGTCCGGAGCCTGTGCTCCACAACGGGAGAGGCCACAGCAGTGAGAGGCCCGCGTACCGCAAAAAATAAATAAATAAACTGAATTAGATTTCATTTTACATTAGTATGTTGAATACCTTCTCTGAACCACAACCTACTAATGTACAATAGTAGCTTAGTAAAGAGGATCTTATTTTTAATCTACAGAACTTTTGTGCTGAGAGATCAAAATATCTTGACTATTTCATGAAACAGATCTGGGTGGGGGATTAAACACAGTTGGCACCATCATGTCTCTGTTTTCTGCATAGCTAGCTAGCTGTCTGTCAGGCTGTGTATTTATCTATCATTTATTTAGTCATTCTGAAATGACTGAATAAATCATTTCAGATACAGACAATATAGGTGTGATTCAAAATGATTTTAAAATGATAGTTATTGAGGAACTTCCCTGGCGGTCCAGTGGTTAGGACTCAGTGCTTCCACTGCAGGGGGCATGGCTTCAGTCCCTGGTCAGGGAACTAAGATCTCACATGCCACTCGGCACAGCCAAAAAAAAAAAAATTATAGTTATTCACAAGTCATGTATTTCTCTGCAAATTAAGATCTGCCTGTTGTTATCTTCAAGGTAGGCACTTGACTTAGAAGCTCATTTTTCTTTAATTTGGGCCAACTATTTTTGCTCTAGTTAAAAATGTGTATGGCATCTAAAGCATCTTTTAATCTAGTGAGCATCCTTCAAAGTGGTGAAAGAAGGGTGTTTTAATGGTATGCTCTGAGCTAAGTACATATGTGTGAAACTAATTAAAGCATTTAATGATCTGTAGAAGGTTTCTGAAAGGTGGAATAGCCAAACCTGAGGAGTGGGGAGTGGGTGGGAAGTAGGTATTTTGCCATTTTTTTTCTTTTAGCTAATTACAATTTGAAGACAGTTGTTTGTGCTTCATGTTCTTTGGCAAAAATATTTCTGAGAGGAAATATAATAATAATGAAATGAAACAGCCCTCTTTCTGCTAATGACCTAATATTTTAATCTGAGCTATGCATCAGAATCACTTATGGATATTCATAGCCACAGATGGCTGGGTTCCAGTGCAAAGATATTTACTTAGGCTCTATATTTTTAAAAATCTGCTTAAAAAAATTATACAAGTGATTTAAAAATATTTTAAAATTTTTATCAGAGAAGGAGACAGTGGTTTAAAATTCTTATGTAAACTTTTCTGGAAGAAAAGTATACAAATTATAGGAAAGTACACAAATGATAAGTATATGACTTAATAAATTTTCTCAGAGTAAACTCAGCCTTGTAACATGCACCCAGAACAAGAAATAAAACATTATCATAGCCACAGAAGCCCCCTCCTGTTCTCCGCCACTCACTACCCAATCCCTGCACCCTCCTCACTACTTTCCTGACTTCTACCTCCTAGTTTAGTTTTGCTTGTTTTTGAACTTCTCTGTATAAATGAAAACATACAGTTTTGCTTCTTTTACTCAACTTTATATTTGTGAGAGTCATCCATTTGGTCATTCTTATTGCTGAATAATATTTAATTTTATGAATATACCAAAGTTTATCCATTCTATTGTTATGGACATTTGAGTTGTTTTCAGTTTTGGTAATTTAAATGGTACTACTATGCACATTCTTGTACTTGTCCTTTTTAGTGAACATATATATTCTTTTCTTTTGCTATATGCTCATTTTCAGTTATCTATTGCTGTATAATAAACCACCCCAAAATTTAGTGCTTTAAAACAACAACCATTTTATTGCTTGTGATTCTGTGGGTCAGGCATTTGAAGGGCTCAGTGGGGATGGCTTGTCTTTGTTGTACGTGCTGTCAGTTGGGCTCACTCAACTTAGCTGGGCTGGAGAGGGAGGTCCAAATGGTTTTCTTACATGTTTGGGACTTTGGTGTGGGCTGTGAACTTGGGTACCTCAGTTCTCCTCATGCAGCCTCTCTGTCCAACAGGATATCCTGGACTTCTTTACATGGCAGCTAGATCCCAAGAGGGCAAAGGCAGAAGCCACAAGGCCTCTTTAGGCCTTTGCTCTGGAACTCACACAAAATCAGTTCTGCCATATCCTATTGGTCAAAGCAAGTCACAAGGCTAGGTGCAGATTCAAAGGGGTTAGGAAAGATCCATCTCTTGCAGGGAGCAGTAGCAGCAGCATTATCTTGTAAAGGGATATGAATACAAGGAGACATGATTCGTTGGGGACCATTATTATGAAGATGTACCACAACCCAGGAAAGGAAGTTTGGAGTTATAGGGCATGCATATGGTTAGCTTTACTAGGTACTGATAAACAGTTTTACAAAATTGTTGTACCAAGTTATACTGCCAACAGTGTATGAGAGTTCCAATTGTTCAGTATCTTTGCCAACACTTGAAATTATCAGTCCTTTTCATTTTATTCATTCTGGTGAGTATGTAGTAGTATCACATTTCTGCTTTAATTTGCATTCCCCTGGTGAGCAGAGAAGTTGCTCACCTGTTTGAATGTTTAGCAGTCACGTGGACATCCCATATGGCAAAGTGCCTGTTCAGGTCTTTTGCCCATTTTTCTATTGGGTATCTGCCTTTTTCTTACCAATTTCTAAGAGTTCTGTAGGTATTCTAAATATGAGAATGTGAATCTTTGTTAGATAAATTTATTGCAAATATCTGTTCCTAGTCTTTGGCTTTTATCTATCCCCCTAGTATTTAATCTTTAAATGATGTCTTTTGGTGAGTAGACATTCTTTTTTTTTTTTTTTGCGGTACGCGGGCCTCTCACTGTTGTGGCCTCTGCCATTGCGGAGCACAGGCTCCAGAGGCGCAGGCCCAGCGGCCATGGCTCAAGGGCCCAGCCGCTCTGCGGCATGTGGGATCTTCCCAGACTGGGGCATGAACCCGCGTCCCCTGCATCGGCAGGCAGACTCTCAACCACTGCGCCACCAGGGAAGCCCGTGAGTAGACATTCTTCATTTTAATGTAGTACAAGTTTTTTCTTTTATGGTTAGTGCTTTCTGTATCCTGCTTAAGAAACCCTTGCCTGATAAGAGGGTTCACGCATGTGTGTGTGTCTATGTGTGCTCATTTGTGCAAAAATAAATACAGGAGAAACCTACAGGGTAAATCAGAAACTAATGACATTATTTACCTACAGGAAATGGAGGGATGGGTGGGAGCAGGGCAGAAAGAATGGGGAGAATGGGGTTTGGGTAGGAGAGATGAGGGGAAAGTGACACATCTCTGAGAATACCTTTTTGTAGTTCTGACTCTTAGAACCATGATAATGTTTCACATCCCTAAAAAAAATAATAATAATTAATTAAAAATAGGAAGAGAGAGAGAATGTGATTCCCAAGTAGAATACACACTGTGACAAATGAACTTAATTGTATTACAAATGAATAACCATCACCCAAAGGAGGTGGGGAAGAGACAAAATAACCTAAGTGACATTGGAAAATAGCATTCAACCATAATATGCCTTGATGAGGTTTCATTTTTATTTATCCTGTGTGGGGTTTGCTGAGCTTCTGTTATATCTAAGTTGATATTTTTGTCAGGTTTAGGAAATTTTCATCCATTAATTATTTAAATTATCTTTCTTTTCAAGTCTAAATATCTTTTTCTTTGTGAATCCTTGGCTTTTAAACTTAGAAGGCCCTGAAATATTTAAAATGTGGATTACCATGGCTATTTTTCTAGATTTTTTATGATTTGACTTCTAAAAGTTTTAACATTTCATAAATTTTGAATTTTTGATATTAAACTAAAAAAGGAAAATTTGATGCCTAGTGGTTGAGAATAATTAAAAAACACACCTACGAAGAAAATGTCCAAGTAGTTAACCAAATTTTCCCCATGCCATTTATTTCATAATGTATCTTTTCACCATGTTTTGTAGTGCCTCCTTCATAATATATTCATTTAAAAATGTGTAATAGGGCATATTTCCGGGCTGTCTGTTATCTTATACATCTCTCTATTATAGGGTCCTAGAATCATACTGATTTAGTTATTATATGTATCAGAAAAAGAGATTTACAGATTATTGCTGTATGTTGATTTCACTTTCAAAATTTTTTCCAGCTTTATTAAAATATAGTTAACATATAACATTATATAAGTTTAAGGTGTACAGTATAATGATTTCTTATATGCGTATATTGCAAAATGATTACCACAATGTTAGTTAACACATGCATCCATTCACATAGTTACAATTTTGTGTGTGTGTGGTGAGAGCTTTTAAAATGTACTCTCTTAGCAACTTTCAATATATAATAGAGTATTATTGACTAGAGTCACCATACTGTACATTACTGTAAGTTGCTTTCTGATGGCCCTTTTTGGTGGGAGAGTTCCAGACAACCTCTACCTAGGCCTGTTTGGCAGAAGTGCTATGACCCCTAAGCAGGGTATATTTAGGGACTGGAAGGTCACTTAACATTTCCAGATACCAGGGCCAGATTAATGGTTTTAACTCTGAGGCACAGAGTATGCTGAGACATTCTGGGTGTTCCAAAGATGAGAGATGACCTACATGTCCTACTGCTTGCTCAAAGCCAATTCATAGGACTTGATGGGGAGATGCTGCACATCCATTCCCCAGTCTGATTTTTCACATCAGCCTCCTCCCACAGGTAGAAAGCCAAAGCTGCTATATACATAGCAACAGGTTTAAACAGAGTCTGGTGGAAGTGGGGAGTGGGATGGAGTGAGTGGAAGTGTTGTTTTGACTTTTCTTTCTGCTTCCCAGATCAATCAAAATGTCCTATCAAGCCACGTATTTTATATTTTTTGTTGCTATGGTGAATAAGATATCTCCCCCCCTATATCTCCCTAATGATTATTGGTAGTATTTAGTGAAGCGTTTGGTTTATGTCTGTTTATTTTGTATTGTGATGCTATTGAACAGTAACATTAAATAATAATAATAATTATTATTACTACTCATATTTATTAAATGCCATGTGCCATGTCTTTTAAGTGCTTTAAATATATCATTTCATTTAGTTTTCATGACAAACCAGTGGAATTAGTATTCTCATCCCCCTTTTGTGGATGAGAATACTGAGGCTTATAAGGTAACCTCCCAAGGTTATTCATCTTATCAGTGGTGAAGCTGTGATTCAAACCAGTGAGATTAACCGCTGTATTATTTTAATTTTCCTATCAATTCCGGGAGTTTTTCAGTTGATTTCCTTGAGTGTAGATATTTAATCACACTGGTCACAAGTAACTTTATTTTTATATCTTTCTATGCAAGAGTCACTGCTCTTATTTTGGCTTCATGTTTTATTATATTTGCTGGAGATACAGAACAGTGTTAAAATGAAACAGTGAAAGTGGGCATCCTCGTTTTGTTAATGATTTAATGGAAAAACCATTACCGTTGATTTAAATTTTAAAAAATACGTTAAGGAGGTATCCTTCCATTCCTAGTTTTCTGAGTTTTTAAAAAAATCAAGAACAGGTGTTGAATTTTACAAACTTTCATCTTGGCATCTATTGAACTTATTGTATGAACACTCATGATTTTAATCCAGATTCATAATTGAGAAATGAAATAACTATAAACATGGTTCAGTTTGTGCTTTTCTTTTTCCAGCAACGTCTGGAGCCTGTATTCAAAGTGACATATGCAGGTGGTAGAGGCAGAAATCGTTTTTTTTTTTTTAATTATGGGCTTTAGATTTTTCCTAGTCCAGATTTTGAGTCTGTACTGGGCAAAAGAAGATTGTGTGTAGGGGGTATTTTTGAGGTATTTTCTTTAGAACAACTTGTTAAGGCATCATTCAGTTATAAGTCAAGATTTTATTATATTTAATTACTGTAGATTCATGTTGACAGAATTGTAAACCAAATAGGTATGGATTAATTCTAATCACATGTTGCACAAATATTCTTATTGCTGGCATTCATTAAATTATTATTATTAGTTATAATAGTTACAGCCCACAAGGACAGTACTTGCATTTGAGATGTTAACGCTTTTGATTGTTTTCACATATGATGCACGTTAGCTACCCACGTTAGGAAGAAAATCTATGTTATTCTTTTTTATGTGGATAAAAACCAGCAGAAGGATTATGATTTGATGTTTATTGATATTTCATATTGAGTAGTTTTGATTAAGAATGGTTTAGGGGGCTTCCCTGGTGGCACAGTGGTTAAGAATTCGCCTGTCAATGCAGGGGACACAGGTTTGAGTCCTGGTCCGGGAAGATCCCACATGCCGCGGAGCATCTAAGCCCGTGCGCCACAACGACTGAGCCTGCGCTCTAGAGCCCACGAGCCACAACTACTGAGCCCACGTGCCACAACTACTGAGGCCCAGGTGCCTAGAGCCCGTGCTCCGCAGCAATGAGAAGCCGGCACACCGCAACAAAGAGTAGCCCCTGCTTGCTGCAACTAGAGAAAGCCCGTGCACAGCAACGAAGACCCAATGCAGGCAAAACTAAATTAAAAAAAAAAAAAAAGAATTGGTTTAGGGGATTCCCTGGTGGCCCAGTGGTTAGTACTCTGTGCTTCCACTGCAGGGGGCCCAGGTTCAATCCCTGGTTGGGGAATTAAGATCCTGCAAGCTGCAGAGCAAGGCCAAAAAAAAAAAAAAAAATTGGTTTAGGGAAATGGTGCTTTTTCATATATTTATCACTGAACTTATAAGAAATGAGGGTCATCAAATGTATGAAAGGAAGGGCCAGACTGAACTTTTTTTTTTAAGAAGAAAAGCAATATTTTTATTATGGTCTTAAATAACAAGACTGAGTTTTAATAACCAGAACTGGTGGAATTGACTTGATGTGTCAGTTAGCTGATGAGAAAGGGAAAGTTGACAGAACATTGGTGAAGGCAATGATCGGGAAAAGAAAATCAGTTCTTGTTTATACCTCACCAGTTGGGATTTCTCAGTAAGGTAGTTATAAGATGATATAGTGCGGGAATAAAGATGCAGACCTACTAGAGAATGGACTTGAGCATATGGGGAGAGGGAAGGGTAAGCTGGGACAAAGTGAGAGAGTGGCATGGACATAGGTACACTACCAAATGTAAAACCGATAGCTAGTGGGAAGCAGCCGCATAGCACAGGGAGATCAGCTCGATGTTTTGTGACCACCTAGAGGGGTGGGATAGGGAGGATGGGAGGGAGACGCAAGAGGGAAGGGATGTGGGGATATATGTATATGTATAGCTGATTCACTTTGTTATAAAGCAGAAACTAACACACCATTGGAAAGCAATTATACTCCAATAAAGATGTTAAAAAAAAAAAGATGGTATAGTGAAACTGCTGAGGTTGTTTTTGGTTTTGTTTGTTTGGTTGTTGTTGTTGTTTTCCCAAGAGGAGCCTGATTTTTCAGTAAGTAAAGCTGGGAAGAAGAAAGGTGTTTTTTTGGAGTAAGATGCTATTCTAAGAAAGACTACCAAGTTGAAATGATCATTAAGATAGTCAAGTAGAATATTTTGGCTTTTCTGCCTGCAAAATGAACCTGAGATAAAATTTACCAAGATGCTCTGCATTTCTAGTTTTCAAACATAAAATGAAATAATTAAGTTTTCTCAAATCTCAAACCAAATCCAAATGAGAAAAATAACCTCTGCTGGACCACACTGAAGACAGACATTATTACTCCTAAATTTAACTTCTTATAAAACATCGTCAATTACCACAAAAAAATATTGGAGTACACAATAATTTAGAAAACATTTAAAATTACCAAATATTATGACTTTAGAAAAAAATTTCAAGTTTAATTTTTAATTGTAATCTCTCAGCATAACTGAATAATGAAAAACAACGTATTGTATCTACATCTGCTAACATCATACCTTCCAAACCTATAGAGAACTTCTTATTCATTTATTTATTTATTTTTGGCTGCATTGGGTTTTTGTTGCTGCATGCGGGCTTTCTCTAGTTGCGGTGAGCGGGGGCTACTCTTCGTTGTGGTGTGCAGTCTTCTCATTGCAGTGGCTTCTCGTTGCGGAGCACGGGCTCTAGGCGTGCGGGTTTCAGTAGTTGTGGCACGTGGGCTCAGTAGTTGTGGCACACAGGCTTAGTTGCTCCGTGGCATGTGGGATCTTCCCAGACCAGGCAGGGCTTCAACCCGTGTCCCCTGCATTGGCAGGCGGATTCTCAACCACTGTGCCACCAGGGAAGCCCTAGAGAACTTCTAATTAATGAGCTTAGTAGCAATTCAGTATTAATGAGCTGAAGAGTATGTCATTGTCCTCTCTATCAGTTATCTGTTACTGCAATAATACTGTGTATTAAACAACTATAATAGCTCAGTAGCATGTAATAAACATTTCTTTTTGCTCACAAGTGTACAGATCAGCTGAGCACTTCTGCTGATCTTGGTAGACTTGATTTGGCAGTTTTTTGGGTCTTGGTTGGAGTTCCCTCGTGTTTACAGGTCTGCTGGCGCGTGGCTGATCTAGGATGGCCGTGGCTTGGGTGACTCAGCTCTGCTCCACATGGTCTTGGAGCTTTCAGTAGACTAGCCTGGGATTTGTGGTAGTGGCACAGTTTCAAAAGAGAGAGCATGGAAGCATACAAGGCCTCCTGAGGCCGGCTTGGAACTGGTACATAACACTGCCACCATATTCTTTAGTCCAACTCAAGTCACAAACCCAACCCAGCTTCAAGGTCTGGGGAAGGAGACTCTTGATGAGAGTGGCTGCAAAATCACATTAAAAAGAGCATGACTAGAGGGTGGAGTAGAGAATTGGGGGTACTTTTGCAGTCAATCTACCGTATCACTTTTCATCTTTCTCCACCTGAATTGGCCAGATTTCTTTTCTTGGGCTGACTGTTTCATAGGCAGTCTAGCAAGAAAGAGATCCTGGGTCTCAGCACCTACTGAAATGGGCAGTGCAGGTAATCCGTTACACAGAAATATCTCTTCGAGAGAGAGGTCCTTTGGGAATTTCTGCCTATGGTTTGTTACCAAGAAGAAAAAGAAAATCATGTCAGAAAATTGGTTTTTATGTGACAAGAGAAACAAATCAATTACGTAAGTAGAATTTGAAGTGTCTAACAGGGAAAAGTTAAATGTTGCCATTTAATTTTCTGTAGATTCTGAATAGCCACAGATATTTGAACCAAATACAATGTATTGTTATGTTTCTAGCCCTATTAGTAAAAATCTGAGATATTAGAGTGGGCAAAAAAAAATGTAGAGTTAGAGCTTCAGAGCATCAAAATACCTTGATTGACCAGTTTTCCCTGTGCTCCTCCCTCTCCTTCCCGCTGATGAACTCACTGCTTTGGTAAAATGTCCACCTGGGAAGGGATAATGATGCTTCATGTGAATGTACCTACTGATCTCAGAACAAATCATTCCTCATGGTTATGTGTGGGTTATCTTGGTATTCATAACACTTAGCACAGTGCCTTACATGGGCTAGGTATTCAAGAAGTTATTTATTGCATTTTAAGTATGGGAATGTAGATTTTTTCCCCCCTTTTCTGTCTTTCCATTTCCAGAATTAGTAACTCACCTTTTTGACAGCAACATCCAGGACAAGGATAGACAGGACTATTGGGTGTTGATAGACGTCCCAGACTCCTACTGTGGTCCTCGACTGCAATTTCCTCTCACTTTTACTGATATTGATTTACTGATTGAGGCCTTCAAGCAACAACAGGCAAGTAGAAGCAGATACTGTCCTGATTCTTGTACATAACATGTGCTATCTGTTGAATGAATAGATGAAAATACTACAGCAGAAATGCATTCCCTTGGGAAAAAACTTCACATTAAGTGAGAGCTACCCTCTGCTCTGCTTAACCCATTAAATACAAGTCTCCTCAGGTGCACAGAAACCTCCTCTCTATCTATAGGCTTACAGTATTTCCTTGTTCTTTTTCTGAGGTTTAATTCACATACTATAAAATTCACCATTTTAAAGTGTACGATTGATTCAGTGCTTTTTAGTACATTCACAAGATTGTGTAACAATCACTAATATCTAATTCCAGAACATTTTCTTCACCCCCAGAAGAAGTGCCGTACCCATTACCATTCCCTCCTCCCCCACTCCTGGCAACCACTGTTCTACTTTCTGTCTCTGTGGATTTGTCTCTTCTGGATATTTTGTACAAACGGAGTCATGTAATATGTTTCCTTTTGTATGTGGCTTATTTCCCGTAGCATAATGTTTTTAAGATTCATTCATGCCATAGTATATTTCATCACTCCTTTATTTTTATGGCTGACTAATATTCTATTATATGAGTATACCACATTTTTATCCATTCATCAGTGGATGAACATTTGGATTTTTTCTACCTTTTGGCTATTATGAGCAATGCTGCCATGAACATTTATGTGTAAGTTTTTATATGAACATATGTTTTCAATTCTGTTGTTTCTATATCTAGGAGTGGAATTGCTGAGTCATATGGTGACTCAATGTTTAACATTTTGAGGAACTGCTAAATTGTTTTCCACAGTGGCTGCACCATTTTACATTACCACTAGTAATAGGTGAGGGTTCCAGTTTCTCCACATTTTTTGCCAACATTTGTTATTTTATGTTTTAAAAAAATTTTTAATTTTATTATAGCTATCCTAGTTGTGTGTAAAGTGGTATCTAATTGTGGTTCTCATATGCATTTCCCTAATGGCTAAGATGTTGAGCATCTTTTCATGCTTACTGGCCATTTGTACACATTCTTTGGAGAAATGTCTATTCAGATCCTTTGCCCATTTTAAAATCAGGTTATTTGTCTTTTTACTATTGAGTTGTAAGGGTTCTTTATATATTCTGGATACAAGTCCCTTATCAGGTATACAATTTGCAAATATTTTCTCCCATTCTGTAGGTTGTCTTGTCACTTTCTTAATAATGTCTTTTGAGTCACAAAAGTTTCTAATTTTGATGACGTCCAATTTATCTCCTTTTTTCTTTCGTTGCTTGTGTTTTGGCATCATATCTAAGAATCCATTGCTAAATCCAAGGTCATGAAGGTTTACCCCTATGTTTTCTTTTAAGAATTTTATAGTTTTAGCTCTGACATTTAGCTCTATGAGCCGTTTTCAGTTAACATCTCTATATGGTATGAAGTATGGGTCCAACTTCATTCTTTGCATGTGGATATGCAGTTGTCCCTATACCTTTTGTTGAAGAATCTGTTCTTTCCCCATTGAATGGTTTTGGTTCCTTTGTAAAAAATTAATAGGCCATAGCTGTCTGGATTTATTTCTGGACTTCCAGTTCTTTTCCATTGGTGTGTGTGTCTATCCTTATGCCAGTACCACATTGTCTTGATTACTGTAGCTTTGTGGTAAGTTTTGAAATCAGGAAGTGTCAATCCTTTGACTTTGTTATTCTTTTTCAATATTGTTTTGGCATTTAGGGTCCCTTGCAGTGAATTTGAAGATTGACTTTTCCATTTATGCAAAAAAGCCCACTGAGATTTTGGTAGGGGTTGCACTGAATCTGTAGATTGCTTTGGGTAGTATTGTCTTCTTGACAATATTAAGTCTTCTAATCCATGAACATGGGATGTTTTTCCATTTATTTGGGTCTTCTTTAATTTCCTTCAGCTATGCTTTATAATTTTATACTTTTCAGTGTACAAGTCTTTCACTACCTTAAATTTATTCCTAGGTATTTTATTCTTTTGGTTGCTATTATAAAACGAATTGCTTTCTTAATTCCCTTTTGAACTGTTCATTGCTGGTGTATAGAAACACAACTGATTTTTGTGGGTTGATCTTTTACTCTGCAACTTTGGTGAATTCATTTATTAGCTGTAATATGTGTGTGTGTGTGTGTGTGTGTGTGTGTGTGTGTGTGTGTGTGTGTATTCTTTTGGATATTCTATATACAGGATCACATCATCTGTGAATAGAGTTTTACTTCTTCGTTTCTGGTTTAGATGCCTTTTATTTCTTTTTCTTGCCTAACTGCTCTGGCTAGGATTTCCAGTATAATGTTGAATAGCAGTGGTGAGAGTGGACATGCTTTTCTTGTTCCTGATCTTAGGGAGAAAGCTTTTAATCTTTTCACCATTGAGTTTGATGTTAGTTATGGTTTTGTTTTGTTTTGTTTTTAATAAATGCTGTTTATCAAGTTGAGGAAGTGTCCATCTATTCCTAGTTTTCTGAGTGGCTTTATCATGAAAAGGTGTTGGAATTTGTCAAATACTTTTTCTGCATTAGTTGAGATGATTGTGTGTTTTTTTCCCTTCATTATAGTAATGTTGTGTATTACATTGGTTAGTTTTCTTATGTTGAACCACTCTTATATTCCTGGAATAAATCCCACTTGGTTATGGTATATAATTCTTTAGAAATTCTGTTGGATTTGGTTTGCTGGTATCTTGTCAAGGATTTTTGCATTTTATTTGTAAGGGATACTGGTCTGTATTTTCTTTTTGTGTGGTGTCTTTATCTGGCTTTGATATCAAGGTAATACTGTCCTCATGAAATGAGTTAGGAATTGCTTCCTTCTCTTCTATTTTTTAGAAGAGTTTGAGAAGGATTGGTGTTACTTCTTTAAACGTTTCATAGAGTTCACCAGTGAAGCTGTCTGGTCTTGCACTTTTCTTTGTTAGGAAGTTTGTGATTAGTGATTCAATCTCTATGTGTTCTAGATCTGTTCAGATTTTCTATTTCTTCTTGAGTGTTTTGATAATGTGTGTGTTTCCAGGAATTTGTCCATTTCATCTAAGTTATCTAATTTGTTAGTATACAGTTGTTCGTAATATTCTCTTATAATTCTTTTTATTTCTTTGAGGTCAGTGATAATGGCCCCATTTTCATTTCTGATTATAGTTATTTGCACTTTCTCTCTTTTTTTTCTTGGCCAGTCTAGGTAAAATTTTGTCAATTTTGTAGCTCTTTTCAAAGAACCAACTTTTGTTTTTGTTGATTCTATTGGTTTTCTGTTCTCTATTTCATTTATCTGCACTCTAATCCCTATCTTCTTCCTTCTGCTGGCTTTCCGTTTAATTTGCTCTTCTTTTTCTAGCTCCTTAACTCATTACTGATGGGGGGATTTTTGTAGAAACTAATGCCTGTGGCTGGCGATTTTTATTTTGGCTGGCCAGAAAGTCAATTCTGTTATTTCACTAACACTTTGCAGGTTATTACATTCAGTAGTTATATCTGACACACCTGTAAAGTCTTCTAATTTTTGTGAAATGTTGTCTTCTATCCACTCTTCTGTAGAAGCAAAGGAGCATTCTCCAGCACCACGGGTTTCATTTTCACTTTCCGTATCAAAATCAATCACTAAGGTTTTTTGTCTTTTTGTTGGTCTTGTATTCACATCGTCTGAATCAGAACTATATTCTGAAGAACTGTCATCTTCTGGACACTAGTATATATGTTGCTTGGACAGTCAGAGAAAGTTTCTGCATAAAATTCACGGAACAGTTCTTCTTCACTCAAAATTTCACAATGTGTCATTTTTGAAAATTTTACGTTTATGATATACACAAGGTTGGAGCAAAAACCTAATGGAGCAAAATGTGAATGATAATGACAATCATAAGTTATATGATGAACGCTTGATCAGTTTTAAGCTCTAACAACTTTGCATGGTGATGTTAATTGTATCACTCTCTAAAAACGTATTGATATGTCTCTGGTCAATGATGTTCAGATAACAAAAGACGTATTAATGTGTCTCTGGTCAATAATGTGTTAAGCATTAAGTCAGGCTTTTCATTCGAGATCTTTCTTCTTTCTTAATGTAGGCATTTACAGCCATACATTGCTCATTGAGCATTGCTTTTACTGTATCCCATAAGTTTTGGTATGTTGTGTTTTAATTTTTGTTCATCTCAAAGTATTTTCTAATTTCCCTCGTGATTTCTTCAACATATTCAAGAGTATGTTGTTTAATTTCCACATATTTGTGAACTTTCCAGTTTTCCTTCTGTTATTGATTTCTAGTTTCATTCCATTGTGGTCAGAGAAGATACTTTGTATGATTCCAGTCTTTTAGAATGTATTGAGGCTTGTTTTGTAGCCTAACATCTGGTCTATCCTAGAGAATGTTCCATGTGCACTTGTAAAAAAATGTGTAGTCTGCTGTTTTGGGTGGAGTCGTCTATAGATGTCTCTTAGGTCTAGTTGGGTGTGAGGTTTCCAAAGTTTCTTTTCTTTTAGGCTGTGTTCACCTAGTGTTTCGACAGAGATTTCCTTGAACACCAAGAGCCATTAAGAAAGAAAGAAAGAAAGAGGGGGGGGAAGGGAGGAGGAGGGAGGGAGGAGGAAAGAGGGAAAGAAAGAGGGAGGGGGAAGAAAGAGGGAGAGGGAAAGAAAGAAGGGAAGGGAACAGAGGGGAAGGAAAGGGAAGCAGGGAAAATCTAGTCTTTGCAGATTGGCTCTGTGTTGGTACACTCCTTTACTGCTTAGCCTGGCTGTTTACAAATCCATCTTAGCCTTTCCTTTCTGCTTGCACTGTGCCATTTTTAAGTTGCCTCTTTCTTAATTCAGCATTGGTTGCTGTGAGCTTTGACTATCTTCCAGAGTTCTGACAAAGTTGGGTCGGACAGGGTTTTTTGTTTGTTTGATCTGGTTTTTTGGCTTGATTTTTCAGTGTTTCTGCGGAGGGATGGGATCTTGGAACTACCTACTTCATTATTTTCTGACATCACCCCAGAACCCTCATTCTCAGGTTAGGACCTTAAGGGTGTACCCTAGGAGTAAGAGTGAATGAGAAGTACTGGCTCTGTAGGGACTGACGCAAAATTTTGAATCATCTAATTCCTGAAATTGAATTGATATCATCCTAGACAGCTAGTGCTCCTAGCCACCTGCCAAGAGAAAATTTCAACCCTCTCTGTAAGAAAATAGGGCCTTAAATGATTTCTTCAAGTTTTCATATACAGTATCCAGAACTTAACATAAATGTTAACCAGGCACAGGAGGATGCAAGATTCACAAAAGAAAACTGAGGCAAACAGCAAACAATGGAAACAAACCTATAGAGTTTTTCGATAATGGCATTATCAGACTCAGAGTTGAAAATAAATATGCTTAATATGCTCAAGGACAGAAAAGCTATGGCAAAAATTCAAGGAGCTATAATAGAAAAGATAGACAATTTTGATTTTATAAAAATGAAAAATATATGATGCTAAGGGAAGAATAAAAGGTTCAACATAGTGTACAATGTGCTCCCATTTGTTAACAAAATTAATAAGCATTATATATTTTGATTTTTAAAAATTGAGATAAAATTCATATCACATAAAATTGATTGTTTTAACCATTTTAAATAAAGTGTATGATTCATTGGTTTTTAGTATATTCACAATGTGGTGCAACCATCACCACTAATTCCAGAACATTTTTATCATCCTCAAAACAAAACCCTGTACCTCATTCCCTCTTCTCCCTAGCCCCTGGCAACCACTAGTTTACTTTCTGTCTCTACAGATTTGCCTAATCTGTGCATTTTATATAAATAGAATCATATAATATGTGCCTTTTGTGTCTGGTGGCTTCTGCTTGGTATAATGTTTTCAAGGTTCATTCATGTTGTAGCATGTATCAGTCAGTACCTCATTCCTATTTTTGGTCGAATAATATTCCTTTGTGTGAATATACCACATTTTATTTAAGGGATTATGTACTTATACGTGTGTTTGCATATTCATATGTGGTTATATTGATTTTTTAAAAGATTTATTTTATTTATTTATTATTTTTGGCTGCGTTGGGTCTTCGTTGCTGCGTGCGGGCTTCCTCTAGTTGCGGCAAGTAGGGGTTACTCTTCGTTGCGGTGCGCGGGCTTCTCATTGCAGTGGCTTCTCTTGTTGCGGAGCATGGGCTCTGGGCGCGAGGGCTTCAGTAGTTGTGGCGTGCAGGCTTCAGTAGTTGTGGCTCGCGGGCTCTAGAGCACAGACTCAGTAGTTGTGGCACACGGGCTTTGTTGCTCCACGGCATGTGGGATCTTCCCGGACCAGGGCTTGAACCCGTGTCCCCTGCATTGGCAGGTGGATTCCTAACCACTGTGCAACCAGGGAAGCCTGGTTATATTGATTTTTATATGCTTGCAAGTGCATAGAATATTTTTTGGAAAGATACTCAAGATACTCTTAACAGTGGCTGTTTTGGGGAATAGGGAAGGGAGACTGAAGTCTGGGGAAGAAGGAAAATTGCTTTTCATTATTATACTCCTTTTTGCTGTTTAAATTTTTATTTCAACTTTAGAAATGTGGGGTTTTTTTTCATTTAAAAACTAGTTACTGTTTTAAAAAGAAAATCCTTTCAAAGTAATATTTTCCTCCCTCAGTGCCTTTAAAAGAATATGAGTATTTTATTCAAGTTGCCATTTAATCTGAATATATTTGTAAACATAGAAATCAACTTCTGAGTTAACTCTTTTGAGTATTTAATATTGCTATAAACACGATTATAATGCTACTTAAAGAGAAGTAGACTGGCTTTGTAGGGACTAATAATACCAAAGTGATTTTAACCAATTGAAAAAGGACCCAGAAAAAACATTTTCATAATAGGGATTTTCTGTTGTTGCAATATATCCTCAATGATTATTTGTTAATTTAACTTAATAAAACAACTGCCTTTTCAGACAGTAATTACTCTGATTAGCACTACAAATGGTCCAGAAAGTCTACAGTGGCAACTTAAGGTAACACTGAAGCCAGTTTTGGGAATCAATAAGTTAAATATGGAAATTAAAATAAATCATGCTATCAGAGTGTTTTGCCTGTTCCTTTAAAATCTGGCTAAAGATTTGACTCACCGATTTAGAATGCTTTTGTGGGGAAAATCCTTAGCAATCCATTAGGTTTGGAGAGACAGGAAATGTGGGTTGCTCCCCACTAATTAACATCCAGGGGACCTTCTCTTTCCTCCTAATTCTCACATTGCTTCCAATCCTGCTTCCTGGTTTTTTTTTAAAAAAATAAGTTTGGAGAATTTCATGATTAAATAATTTTAATAGGAAGTGGAAATGGAAAATAATTTCATTATTTTAATAGGAAGTGGAAATGGAAATTTCAGGACACCACGAGATAGGATTGTTCCAAAGTGTTCCTCTGTCCTGAATCCCATGCCCAAAGCGTTATCTGAACAATATGTAGATATGACCTCTCTCTCAGCCTCCAATAATCTAAACCAGTGCTGTCCAATAGGAATATAATGTGATCCACATACATAATTTAAAATCTTCCAGTAGTCAACATTATAAAGGCAAAAAGAAACAAGTGAAATTAATTTTAATAATGTATTTTATTTACTCCAACATATAAAATTATCATTTTAATATGTAATCATATTAAAAGTTTTTTATGAGATGTTTAACTTTTTTTTCATACTGTCTTTAAAATCCAATGCGTATTTTGTGCTTACATGACATCTCAATTTTGACCCCATTTCAAGTGGTCAATAGCCCCATGTGACCAGTGTCTACTGCATTGGACAGTACAGGCGCAGACACTCCTGACTAGAAAGTGGTGTTAGCATCTGTTAAATTTGTATCAGCTACATCACTTTTTGAATTATGTATTTGGAATAGTTCATAATTTAAAAAAAGGGAGAACAACACACTGTATTTAAAAACAAATAAACAGAAAAGCCTGGAAGAGAAAACCCAGTAAATCTGTCCAAAACAATGCTGTCATCAACACTGTAACTGAAGGAGATCAAGGGATGAATAGTCATAATAGGAGCTAATCTGAATGGTTTATTTGAATTGGCAATATGTTGTATACTTACACTTGTATATAAGTGTGCTTGCTGTCCTGTAAACTCATGTCTGTGCACCAAATATTGAGCCACACCTAGGACACCTGGCTCAGGAGTCCCTTGGGGCCTGTCCGGCTACCTTGTGAGACCTCCTAACCCAGCACCCCCATCTAATTCCCAGCCCCGGGGCAGGAGGTCACAAGCAAATGCAAAGCAGCTCCTCTTGAACAATCTCTCTCTGCTTCTCTCTTCCTTTCTACTTCTCTCTCTTTTCCCTCCTTCTCTTTTCTTTACTTTTTTGCCTGCACATTTCCTTAGGGCAAGGGAGTCTCCTTTTTTTCTTGTCACCTCTCTTGGGCTCTAAGGACCAAGAATAATAAGAAATGTTCTGTGAATGGGTGATGTCAATTAAGAACATGAGAATATAGACGTCCTAGGAACCATTCATTCATTCAACTTACACATCTCTAGCGAGGGCTTATTATGTGCCAGATACTGTGCTAGGATAATCTATTTAAAAATAATTTAGAGATTGTCGTGAACTACAGCTACCTGAAACGTGCTCATATGTTCCACCTATATTGCTTTCTACACACTCATGCCTTTTCTCCTAGTTCATGATATCTATTTCCTCTCCTTCGCCCTCACAGATACTTCATGCTTATTATGTCTTAGAGGTGCTATTTGAAACCAAGAAGCTCCTGCAGCAAATGCCGAATTTCACTCACATAAAAACTTCTCCCTCCAAAGAGATAACAATCTGTGGTAAGTTTCAGAGCAGTGTTGCCAAATTAATATTTAGGAGCCTCTTGGTTCTACATCATTGGCCTAACTTGAAAACTGTGTAAATTGGACTGTGTTAAGGGAAAAGTGTTAATATAGAGTTTTCTATCATGATAGTACTGTTTCCTATCTTGTCTTTGTTTTGCATACCAGCTGGCAGGAATTAATTATGTGAGAAATTAAAGAACTCATAGCTTTTTATAAAGGCAGGCAGCATTTTAATACAGAAAATCACCCATGGGTGGAATAAGTGTTCTTTGCCCTCCCTCTGGCTCTCATTATCTTTGTTCAATGTAGCTTTTTCTAGGTGGGCCTCTGCATGCCACTTATGCTGGGAAGAGAAAAGCCCAAGGAAGGGTGGAGACTAAATTCTTCTCTGCCCTCGGCTGCTGTTTTAGATTTTTCCAACTGGTCTCTGCAGCTTTTAGAAGAGTGGGAATGTCCCAGAAATCTGTTCCTTGTTCTTCTAAATAACAAGAGCTGAGATTTTGTTATCATATAGGCCAGTCTGACAGGATATTGCTTCAAGAAGCAGTACACATTGAAATTCAACACAGTTGGTGCTCAGCGTGCTTGCAACTGTCTGAGAATGGAGTGCGTGGAAGGAACAGCAATTCCCTTAACTTCTAATTAAGCCTTTAGGTTACAAAACAGTGATTGTTATTTTCCAAATCAATTTTTAGCCCATGTTTCTTTTACTCTGGCAGGTAGAATGGATTTGACAATCTAATTAAACTATTTCCATTCTAGCATCTGATAGTGGTGACAGGGACTCGATGTAGCAGTACATGCTCCTTGACATGTCCTGACTCAGGCTTTTGAAGAGTCCTTAATGGTTCAATTCCAGCCAAATCAGGCCACCACATCTCTGCCTTCCAGATGATGCATCTCAGCAGTGGGGACCTTTTATTCAAGGCCTCATCAGCACTTACTTTTCATGGAGATAAAGAATTTTGGGTCATGAGGCTCAGGAAGCGATGCCAACCCATGAAGCCTCTGGAGCCAAGGCGAGGTTTGCTCTCAGAGTGTATATAATAGGCCAAACAGGGAGTGTGATCTGCTCCCATATGTTTCCAGTATACCTCCAGTTGCCATTGGAGACTTAGCTTTGCATAAAAGGATCTGGAAGAAGACATGAATTAATTAGAGGGCATGTAAGTCCTGGAATCATGCAGTGTAAGAACTGAGTGGTTCTTACAGAGACCATCTAGTCTATCCCTTGCTCTTACGGATGAAATTGAGGCCCAGAGAGAAAAGTGTATTGCCTTCCATGCATTTCTATGTAGTAACTTGTCCCCCTCTCTCCACCTCAGCTTACTCAGCTGGTTAGTGGCAGAGTCAGAATTAAAAATCAGATCTTCTGCATCCCAGGTTAGAGCCAACTCCGTATCTGCTATCCCAACTCCCATCATGCACTGCTCTGACTGATGTTTCATTTTCCATCATGAGACAAGGACTAGGGAATGGATTGATTGGACAGTTCCATTATTTTAAAGATACTCACATCTTGGCAGGGCATTTATTTCCAGACTTCTTCCATGTAGCACCATTGATAGAAGGAAAAACCAAGGCCCATAGGTTCCCATAGCATAGGAATTATTATTTTCTGTCTTTAATAGCCCCATTGAACTTAGAAAAATTTGGTCATCATTTAAAATAAAATTTAAAATCAGGGCCATATTTTCATAAACATCCTCTGTTTAAGACAGTATTAGGAAAGGGGGAGAAATTATGGTGAACCTTTACCATTATTTTAATTTCCAGATGCATTTTTTTACATGCACATCTAAACATGCTACACATTTCTCAACGTGCATGAAATATAGTAGGTGTTTTAGTTTATGTTATAAATGATAACCAGTTATGCACTTAGGTTTTTGTGTGCAGTGGAAATATCTTTCTGTGGCTGCCTTTCCATGATACATTGAGTTTTATCTCTTGCTGTCCAACTAGAAGTTAAAAATATTTTTAGGGAGTTCCCTGGTGGTCCAGTGGCTAAGTGCTCCCAATGCAGGGGCCCAGGTTTGATCCCTGGTCAGGGAACTAGGTCCCACATGCCTCAACTAAGAGTTCGCATGCCGCAACTAGAGACCCTGCATGCTGCAAGGAAGATCCCACACGCGGCAACGAAGATCCCACGTGCTGCAGCTAAGACCTGGAGCAGCCTAATTAATTAATTAAAAAATAATAAGGCAGCTTATGAAAAAAATGAAAATAAAAATATTTGTATAGCCTCAACTCTTAATATGCTGAAACCAATTCATTTATTAGCATACCAGCTGCAACAGTTCTGACCACCCAAATCTTTGGGGTTTTTTGTTTTTTGCTTTTTTTTTTAACTGGAACCAAAGCTGCTAATAGTAGCTTGTTTTACTGATATGAAGTGAAATACTTTGTCCATTAAGGCATTGCAGATATTCTAAAGCTCCCAATTAAACAAATTCTACAGAATACCTGACTCACAGCATTTTTATTATTATGCTTGTCTCCCTCTCAGAAATTCCTCCCTGCCATCAGAACTCATATTTTTCTGATGTGGCCTCAGAAGCACTAACCACACACAGATTTGGCAAACATATACAGGCCTCTGCTGTGTCAGCCCGAAAGGCACCTTTATTCTCAATGGTGTACGTTGGTGCCTCTCCTTTAAAGCAGCATAATGTAGCTGCTGAGTGAATGAGCTCATATTTTCTTAGCTGAAGTTGTTTTTTTTTTTTTTAAACCATCTTTATTGGAGTATCCTGAAGAAAATTAGGAAAACAAAATAATTAAAAATATATATTTAACTGATAAGTAAAGTCCTTCCATTTTTATTTCCTTAGATTTGGAGTGAGAGCAATGAGATTTAAGTATATGGTAGTATTAATATGCTCTTAATATTGTAGTCATTTTATAAATAAGTGCTGGTGATGTAGGATTTTAATTTTATTATTCCCATTATAACTGCAGTCATTTCTTGCATATATTTGGTTAAGTTTGGTTGTAGCATTTTAAGCAAACTGAGGAAAAGTATTCCTGAATTAAATTATATTTGGTAATTAAGTTGGATACAAGGAATAAAAACTTATGATCAGAGGTTATGAAAGTCAAATATTTACCTAGAAATAGTTATCCAAATAGGGCTTTTGAATACTCACATATTTACTCTTGTTTTTAAATTAATGGCTTCATCTATTTATATGTTTTCCCTCAGTTGGCTGAGTTTTATAAAGCCATGCTTTCATTTTTGTTTTCTCTAATAGTCTCATCAAGAGAATGTCAACTATCTACTCAAAATTTTTAAGTTTCAGATGCTACTGCTGGAGCATATTTTTGAAAATGTGGCTTTAAAAACCTTTGCATTTAGCAATTAAACTTAATTATTGAGTGCCTACTACGCAGCAGGTACTATGGGAGGCATTTGAGGTTTAATGCCAATATAGATGATACTGCTGTTCTCCTAGAGATTACAGTGTAGGTAGTACAGAACAATCACTAAGAGCTTCAATTTTTTTTGTATGTGTTTTTTTTGTGGTACGCGGACCTCTCACTGTTGTGGCCTCTCCCGTTGCGGAGCACAGGCTCCGGACGCGCACGCCCAGTGGCCACGGCTCACGGGCCCAGCCGCTCTGCGGCACGTGGGATCCTCCTGGACTGGGGCACGAACCCGTGTCCCCTGCATCGGCAGGCGGACTCTCAACCGCTGTGCCACCAGGGAAGCCCAGAGCTTCACTTTTGAAGAGAGATAAAGTTGAGTTTGAATTCCAGCTCTGCTACTTGGTAGCTGGGCAACTTTGCATAAGTTACTTAACTACTCCGAGCTTCATTCGTAAAATGAGTCTGATGAAAACAATACCCATCTCATAGAGTGGTTGTAAGGATTGAACAAGACAATTCACGTAAACCCTTAGTCTAGCACTTGGCAGAGAGTGGCACAGAGCACTTGGCACAGAGGCCCATCCCGAAGGGAGGCCCATAAATGGCAGGAGTGAATAGGTAATTGCCACATTGGATGCTGTCCCCTATAGGAAAGGGGACAAAGTTTCCATAGAGTGCTATGGAAACAAATTGTCTGTTGAATTAATATCATCATAGGGTAAAAACCCGATGTCCTGAAAACGCTTGGAGTATATCAGTAGTATTTCAGTTTTTAAATTCTGTTACGTAGCTTTTCAAATTAGAGTTTTTGTCTTTTCAGTTTTTAAATTCTTGTTCCTACTGAATAGCGATTTTTCATTTCATTTCCAGGTGATTTGCATGGGAAACTGGATGATCTTTTTTTGATCTACTATAAGGTAAATGATTATTTTGCTAAATATTTATATTTTTGTTGGGGGAAGGCAGTCCTAGGACAAATAACAATATTAGTTTTATTAGGGATAGGTACAAATACAGATATAATAGGACAGTTTTTATCCAAGAAGTTGAAAGATTTGGTTTTTTCACACGTTTCACAAAAAAATTTTAAAGATTTAATTTGGGCCTTTGTTTAATATTATTGTTATCTGTAGATCCATTAGGATTTGTACCTGATTGTATTTATGTTCTTTATTATATGGAAAATGTCTAGATGGCAGAGGAAGGGGAGGGAAACAGTCTGTTTTATTTTATTGTTATTTGGTTCAGAAGTGAGCATGCCACAGCAGTCTTCTTCTCCATTGTGCACTAATGATGCATGAAAGTAGTCCCCCATAGCAAGTTCCAAACTGCTCTTCTCTTCTCCACCCTGAGTCATCATTGCCAGGCTCAGCTGCTCTTCCAGTGCTATGACTCCTCTTTGTTGGTTGGGTTTTCTTTTTTTTTTTCGGTACGCGGGCCTCTCACTGTTGTGGCCTCTCCCGTTGCGGAGCACAGGCTCCAGACGCGCAGACTCAGCGGCCATGGCTCACGGGCCCAGCCACTCCGCGGCATGTGGGATCTTCCCGGACCGGGGCACGAACCCGTGTCCCCTGCATCGGCAGGCGGACCCCCAACCACTGCGCCACCAGGGAAGCCCTCTTTTTTTAAATAGTATTGACATATAGTTGATTTACAATATTGTGTTAGTTTCAGGTATACAGGAAAGTGATTTGGATATCCAAATCACTTTCCTTTACACCTGAAACTATGCTATACAGTAAATCCTTTTTATTTACCTATTTTATATATAGTAGTGTGTATCTGTTGATCCCATACTCCTAACTTATCTCTCCCCCCACTTTCCCCTTTGGTAACCATAATTTTGTTTTCTATGTCTGTGAGTCTGGCTCTGTTTTGTAAATAAGTTCATTTGTATTATTTTTTAGATTCCACATATAAGTGATATCATATGGTATTTGTCTTTCTCTTTCTGACTTACTTCACTTAGTATGATAATCTCTAGGTCCATCCATATTGCTGCAAATGGCATTATTTCTTTTTTTTATGGCTGAGTAATATTCAATTGTGTATATATATATATATATATATATATATATATATATATATATATATACCACATCTTCTTTATCCATTCATCTGTCGGTGGACACTTAGGTTACTTCCATATGTTGGCTATTGTGAATAGTGATGCTATGAACATTGGGGTGCACATATCTTTTCAAATTAGAGTTTTTGTCTTTTTCGGATATATGCCCAGGAGTGGGATTGCTGGATCATATGGTTACCATATTTTTAACCTTTTTTTTTTTTGGCTGTGTTGGGTCTCCGTTGCTGCGCGCAGGCTTTCTCTAGTTGTGGCGAGCGGGGGCTACTCTTCATTGCAGTGTGCGGACTTCTCATTGCGGTGGCTTCTCTTGTTACGGAGCACGGGTTCTAGGCACGTGGACTTCAGTAGTTGTGGTGCATGGGCTTCGTTGCTCTGTGGCATGTGGGATCTTCCCAGAGCAGGGCTCAAACCCATGTCCCCTGCATTGGCAGGCGGATTCTTAACCACTGTGCCACCTGGGAAGTCCCTATTTTTAACTTTTTAAGGAACCTCCATACTGTTCTCCATAGTGGCTGATTTACACTAATTTACATTCCCACCAACAGTGTAGGAGGGTTCCCTTTTCTCCACACCCTCTCCAGCATTTATTATTTGTAGGCTTTTTGATGATGGCCATTCTGACTGGTGTGAGGTGATACCTCATTGTAGTTTTGACTTGCACTTCTCTAATAATTAGCGATGTTGAGCATCTTTTCTTGTGCCTTTTGGCCATCTGTTTGTCTTTTGGATAAATGTCTATTTAGTTCTTCTTTGGCTGCAGTATTCTTGAGCTTCCACCCCATAAGAGGTTGTCTTGTGAATAAGATAACATAAATATCCAAAAGCATTTTTTAAAGTACTAAATTATAATAGAAATACAAGGTTTTCATTTCATTCATTCAGAATGGGAGCTTGGAAGGGAATGGAGGAAGCCAAACCAGGAGTGGATGAATGGAGCCAGCACTTAGGAAGAGGTTCAGTTGAGACTGCAGGAGGCCTAAGCAAAGGTCTAGGGCCTGGTAGCCAGAGAGTGGGGTCAGGAGAAATAGAAGGCCATCCAGGTAGTGAGTTGGTGTCAGGAAGTCCAGCCAAAGGTTTGCCGGCAGGGAACTGAGGGTTCTGGTAAATAGGGCAATTCTGGAGATCAGCTACGGAATCCAGTCTGGGCAGGGAAGGAAGAGGCCAGGATGGCAACCAACTGGGAGAAATGGGTGGAATGAAGGATTGCCATGCTCTCTGAGGTCAGGGCAGGAGGCCCAGGAAGCAGGATGGCTGGGAAGTTGCAAGGGGAGTAGTCCTAGGGGATGAATGAGTCCAAGGTGGAATCCAGCATGTGGGTGGCTGAAGTGAGTGAAAGAGAATATTAGGGATGAGGAGGTCAAGCAAGTGGAAAGCAGGTGTGTTAAGTGGGTTGGCCACAGGACTGAGAGATGAGATGCAGAGGAAGGACGTTTAGTTAGAGCTCATGGGCCTAGAAGGAGGAGAGGCTGGCAAAGTGTTAGTCTGTTGGTGGCTCTAAAGAGCAAGTGGACCCACCCCAACTCCTGACCCTGAGGTCTCCATCCTGTGAAGAGTGGGTCCTTTCCTTCCAGAGGGCTGCAGGAGTCAGGAGTCTGGCACCATCCCGAAGGGAGGCCCAGATTTCCAGAGGGAAGTCTTTCTGAATGAGTTGAAGGCAAAAGGGAGTTTATTTATGCAGTTTGAGGAATGAGATTTAAGTCTACATAACACCATATAAATGTTCAGAAGTACAGTCCTGCTATTTTTGACAATTACAATCTGAGGAAGGAGGAGGGGGTGGAGGTATGTGGGGAATAGCCACAACAGAAAATCTGGTAATTATTTTTCTAGAGGTCTTGGAAAATACAAAAAAGGGAAAATAGTTGAGTAAATTAAATGGGAAAAGTGACTTCCTAGGCAATTAGAAAATTTTTCAAGAGGTAGTTGAAGATATTAAGGTGCGATCAGGGAAAGGACTCTGGAGTAGATAGATGCAAAAAGAGAATGTTTCTTTAATTCCATTGGCAAAACTAAATGGAATATATAAAACTGGAAAGTGCTAATGTAAAGATTGAACAGGAGGAGGTGGGTGGTAAGAAGTACTATAAAAAGGACTAAAGGTGAAATTATAGCATTCACATGAAAGCAAGAAATATTTTGAGTGTTAACCAATGACGGTGTTCAGGAAGTGGAGATTGAGAGCCCAGCGATGAAAGAGTATGGAACTGTTTTTGGCCCCAAAGATATCACAGTTTAGTGGGGTAGGTCACCTAATGAAAAGACAAGACAGTTCAGGGTGAGACATGTTATAACTGGGGTAAACAAGTTTCCAAGGGAGCACATTGGAGGGGCGTCTAAGTCGTGGGAGACTTCCTGGAGGAGGTGACATTTAAGACAATCCCTTCAAAGAGTTTTAGTAATTTGATAAGTGCCTAAATCATGAAGGAAAGTTCTGAAGGATCAGAAAAGATTTTATTCCCACACCCTTTTTGTGGTGTGCTGCAATAAATGATGGAATCCGTACCAGTGATCGTTTTTGATTGTTTTGACATTTTTGGTTTCTTTAATATTTGGTTGTCCTTACAAATTCTATCATTTAGCACCTTAAGACTAAGCTAGACAGTTTCAGCTCACAGTCCTATCTGGATTTGAAGGGAATTCTTTCCTCTGGGTTCCACACGGTTAACCATGGCACACCTTTCCTAAAAGGGCATCCCAACTCTATATGGCTTCACATATCAGCAAGTGAAGCAATTTACATGGCATTAGTTAGGTCATATTTTTAGACTTTATTTTCTGAAAAGGTTAATTTTAATCAGCCACTCTTGCTTAATTAGAGTGACCAGTTTGGAATACTTCATTCAGATCCTTTTCCTCATTGACGAGAAAGCTTGAAATTTTAGACCAAGTATTGGCAAGTTAGTTTGTTAAATTGATGCTGTGTGTGGAAACCTCCTACAGTTGAAAAAGAGCTGCACATGGACAGAGAGAAGCTAATTACCTCTCACCCCTATGGGTGTCATACTGATGCTGTCCATGGAAGCCACGCAGCCTTGTTTTCCTTTTCTTTCTCTCTTCTCCACTATCCTCCACCCCACGCCCTATGCCCCAAATTTTCCGGCTGTGAAGGTCATTAAATATTTTCTTTTTTCTCTATTGCTGATATGCTTCCCACTGCCACAGTAGTCAATTCTTTACCTTTTGAGATTAAGGCAGTGTGTTATAATCAGAACAGATCTCTAAAATAGAGTTTGCAAAAGAAATAAAAATTAAAATTATGTGGAGTTGAGGTCCAGAGGTTATTGTTTGATGTGCCTCGGGAAAATGCCCCCCCAAAATTGTGATAACTTCTAGATGTCTTATGTAAAATACTTCAGTGGGAAATAGGTCTCCTTATCTCTACTCAAGTTAATTAATTGTGATCTGCTATTTTTTTCCCCCTGAAGGTCATCTAATGCTGTTCAGAGTTGTAGTTACCCCAGGTTTTCTGTATTTGTCACCTTGATCACCATGTCATAGATGGTTTGTTGTATATCAGCTGCAGAATAAGCCAGAGAGTTTGATTTACTGGAACTGAGTGAAGGATGGGTTCCCTCAGCAGCAGTGTTTGCTTCTTTGAAGAAAATCCAGAGAAATCTCAGTAGCGTAGCTAGAAGCCTAAATATCCTAGAGACCCATGTCCCAGGAGACTTAGCTATTCTTTTTATCTGTTTTCCAATTCTCTTATTATTCTAAGACTAAAACGTATTTGAACTCAGACTATATAGAGTAATACAACTAGTCCTGGCTCAACAATGCAGTTCTTATACATCCAAGTAAGTCTTGCCTTTGCCTTCAGAGGCTCAACAC